AGTTCGAAAGAGATCAACACACAGTAAGTCAGGAAATGGACTTTCGTAATACACTCAACTGATTTTGCAAAACTTAGGACTTATAGAGCAAGAGCCCGACGTATTTCACACACGTCTGAGTGCCAAACAAATCGCAGTTCAATCATCTTTATAGAAAAAGAAAAACGTTCCATGATTTCCACGTGGGCGGAATACTGCCAGGTTTTCCAGGCCAAGACAGGTGAACACTCTTGGGAAATTTACAACTGAAGCCTTTGACTAGCCAAAGTTTGACCCACGAGACGGTATGCGATCCATCAGGGGCCGGTGTCCAGTTTATCGGATCATACACCCTTTNCCCTTTGAACGGGGTCAAACGTCCAAGTTGCCCAAACACCTAGATGCCAATTAGAGCCGGTTACCACTGCCACAACCAGGAAGTTGTGTGGTTCGTACGACTCCTCATGGTTGGTTTGGAATCAGGGTTTTTGGATAACTCCCCTAGATGAACTACCAGTGGTCCACCAACCCGATTATAGACCCGAATGTCAGCCTTTCGTCCTCTCACTTTGATGGGAAAGCACCTCTGTCACGAAAAGACAGTGACCAGGGCTTTCTCATCAGAGGCTATTCGAGACGCTTGGTCGTATGGGAGCATTTGGCTAGGTTCAAGGGAAGGGTGATCAGCCGCCATCCTAGGCCCTGACTATACTGAGGCATGTATATGTTTATATTTATCACTTAGTTGAGAGCAAGATTGGGTGCCAACGTAATCAGAATAACAGAAAATGAGGGTTGGGATACGTAACAGAGTAAAGGGGGTTGGATAGTTAAGCTAAATAACGAGAATAACAATTTTGTTTATTTGTTTCACCGTACACTGTTTGATATTTTTTTGTTATAGTTTATTATTTTTACGGGACATGGAATTTCAACAGGCAGACCGTACAAAAATTAGTCCCACTAACTTCTATCCTGGGTCATATCTGTCAGCAAGACAATCCATTGGACCCCAACCTGGAGGTCGGGCTGCACCAACCGAAGCCAAAGCTGAAGCTGGCATCCTCAGAATTCTACGCAATATCATAGTCTGACCGCTGAGGAGCTTCTTCCAGCCTTGCCCGGCACGTGTAAACAGAGATCGGAAAGGTAGTCGATGGGCAGGCATACTCAATAAGTGACCAAGCCATCGGAGGCGGTGTAGAGCGATTACTTCTGTTAGAGAACGACTATCCACACCCAACACACGACGACGAACCTCATTATTGTTCACCCAATGTTACCACCAGATACGAGCAATGCTTCGGAGACATCGGTGGTCGAACACAAAAAGCCAACCAGCACCCCCCAGTGCGGGCCAGGTCTCGCAACCGTAAAGCGGAACTCTACGAACCGCGGCGATGTACACCCTTCCCTGATGGGAAAGTCGGATGTCATGGCGGTGCCCCAGGTTGGCGAAAGCTGCTTTAGCACAGGCTCCTGCCAGTCTTGTACAAGCACTTTGCATTTGGACGGCACAAAGCATATACAATACCTGGATACCCCCTATTACCAAGAACTTTAATGCCTGTTGGACTACTTGTGTATTGTCAACCAGCAAGACTTTGTCATCGGAATGTGAGCAATATATTTCACTCGTGGATCTATGGGCCTTCGGGTGCAAAGCAACGCAATTTAGATAGCCTACCTTATCCGTCGACTGTGGTTACGCGCGGAACGGATTTCGTGGACGTGGTTTTACCATTAAATTGACCTATGTTCAAAATAACCTTTCGGGATTGGAGATTGCACCGAGCGGAAACAGAAACAATATACTCTTGCGATCGAACATACGCGAGACGCAATACGGGCACATAGTCCGGATCGAAAAGGTGGAGAACAAACAGACAGGGACCGAGTTCTGTACGAACGGGACGATGGAAGAACAATCGCGCAGCACAAGTCGCTTTCGTCTATCGATCCACAGCGTGCGTCTGTGCCTGCGCAAATGAACTTGTGCACGGATTAATCAATATCGATCGGAACTAAAAAAGATCGTGAACAAAAACATACGAACCGGTTGATTTACATCCGTGTGGAAGGATATGCACAAAACAAAACCAGCTGTTCATAAGCCAAATAACATGAGAGAGAGAGAGAGCGCGCGTGTTCATAAGGAAATGATACAATAGTTGTTATGATGAATGGACAAGAGTGACGGGTCGTACGGAGGCGGTTGGGGCGNTTGAAATGGATAATCTGAGATCGACCGGGATGGGAGTCAAAAGGAGTCGGCAGAAGCTCATGGGGAATGTAGGACAGGCGCATGATAAGAAGAACGGGTGGGGATAGAGACAGTGACAGAGGTGTGAAAACATGTGATGAGGATAACGATGAATTGGATGGATGAGGAATCGAGGTGGCGGTAGGAGAGAGAGAGAGAGAGAGAGAGAGGAGAAAGTGACAGATTTAGCACAATCCAGACAAATCACTGTCCGGCTGTGGAGGGATTTCGAGATCCGACGAATTCGATCCGGTCCGGGGCGGACAATTTGCGGGATCCGGTTGCACTGGTTGAGGCATTAGCAATTCCAAACTCTTTGATCGAGAAGAATTGGGTTCCGGTGTGTCTAGATCGAATTGCACGTTTGGTGATCGTGTCCGGCCGGAGTTGGGTGTTCGCGTCTCGGACAAGTTGCCCGGTTCTGAAGCGTTATTGGCAAGCCGGACATGACTACTCGTGATAGAGGGGACGTGGCCAATTGGGGGAAGAGAAACGGAAGAGGATGATCATGGGGGGGGGGGAAGAGAGACCAGTGACAGTGAACGTAAATCCATGCATAGAAGGTAACTTTGTAATTTTGGGCTAATTATTATTGTCCTCCTCTTTCAAAGAGGGAATTCGCCGTGTATAGAGCAAATGAAGCGTGAACTGAAAAGCTAAGACGCACTGGACAGCTGTTTCGACCTGGTTGCATCTCATCAGCAGTGAGTGAATCAATCCATCGATCGGCCTAACAGCAGATCGAACCCGGGACCTCATAGTTAGAACGCAAGCATGCTACACTCACTTGGCCATCGGCCAGCTGATTGTTCTGCCACAAGAGTACGAAAAACGGAGCTGTATTCTACTGGACGTCGTTGAGATCACGGATAGGAGACAAGTTATTTCGTCCAGTCAAGTTAAGGAATCGCTCTATACATCCCCGAGGAGTGGATAGTCAGCAAACCACATAACCACAGTGTGTCAGTAACACAAGAAATGGGAAATATAATGCAGCAATCAAAGAAAGAGAAACGGACAAAAAAAGTGACATACTAGGGTACTTATCATTAGTTTATATTATCACTTTGAGCAGATTTTCTGCAACGAGTTTATGGTTTGTCAGAAATTTGGTGAGATGCGGGACAATAGGACACTTTTAGGCCCTAGGGATGGGAAATATCTGATAAAATCTTTTCGGAGAATGTTTTACAGACCTTGAGATGGTGTGCCAACAGAATCGGTACCAGATGTTCTCGTGGTATATGATCACATAACGACAGAAACTTGAGGGATCAGGAGATGAGTTTGAAGGTTCTTAGTCAAAGGATCGGGAAGATAACAGGGGACCCATAAAGCCAGTGAGACAAAACTCGTTATGAGATGATTTGGGATAGAAAATAATTTAAGACGTAACACATAAGATGTAAGCCTACTGAACTTCAGAAAACGTTATTGATGTGGTCGGATCAGGTGAGGTTACGGTTGAAAATAACCCCAAGGTATTTGACAGACGGTTATGTCGATCCATCTAGTCATTCCATATAGCTAAATGGGGAAGGGGCGCGGCTGGCATTTGACAGTTCAGCATACCTTTCAAAAAGGGGAAAAATATGTCAATAAATTTTTTTCGGGCGGGGCGGGGGCGAGGGGTAGGAGCGGTTCATATAGAGACTACTCCACTATTTCTGTCATGTCATTTTGTAGGGTGATCTGAGATGATCGGTTTGGGGGTAGGGTAGGGTAGGGTAGTCCAAATGTTATATCGTCAAAAAACTTAACAAGAGAAGAATTGCTCACAGGCATAGAGCAGAAAATGTAAACGGAAAATAGGAAAGGGCACAGAATAGTGCTTTGCTGTACGCCTTATGACGAGGGTAACAGTGAAAGTCTACGGCCTTTGTGGCGTGTGAACTGTTGACGATTGGAGAAATAGTTGGCCAAGATTTCATTTGTATGTGGTTGAACGCTGCCTGAAGTGAGAGTTTTTCGCGATATCCGCCTATAGTCTCGAAAACATATGCAGGCAGCCTTGCTATTCTTTTCAAGGATGGATAAACCAAAGTGCAAAAGATACTAGAGAGCATCATCCAGGGTACCGCGGGAATGGGTTATTAACACTGAACTGTGTAGGGTAGGGTTTTAATCAGGAGGCTTGCAAGTTGGTTTATCAGGGATACATGAACATTGCTTCACAGAATAAGCACGGTTGCGAATAGTTAGCGAGTAACCGATCACTCTGCAACAACAAAAAAAAACCAATGAGTATGTGTAGAAAGCATCCCATGACGTGCAAAAGCTGGTCGATCATCAGACAAGAACATCCGCATAACATTTTGTCCTGTCGATCAACCATAACTGTGTCAAAGTTAGAGAATCAATCTCCAAGGAAAAGAGCTGAATGTCACTGAGAATATCCCGGGCGTTTTTCGTGTCGGAACAAGTCTCGAAAATGCAAAAAATACAAGTGGAACAAGAGGAACCATTATTCTTACCTTTGCCCGTGTGAAATCGAGTCTTTTGGAACCGTGGCCAAGAAAGCACTGGGAGTCGGGTCGGTTTGAACCACATCTGGCATAGATCGATCTACTTGAGAGTGAATAGGGCTCATGATCATCATTTCCGGCGAGTGCTGATATGCTCCATGGGTTTTCTCATTCACATTGTATCGATTTTCTGGAGCTTCTTTATCGTCCAAATAGTACTTGGTTGCCAATGCAACCTCTAAACCCATATACGCATCCGATCCGGATAGGAGTGGGGCGGAATCGTTTGTGTCGTCAGTGTTCGTGGTTGGAGTCACGGGTGTTGGTGCAGCAGGTGACCAAATATTTGGACCGAGTAAAGGGTGATGCGCATCATCATCATCATCGTCATCGTCTTCATTATCATTATCATCATTTACCACATCATCAAACGCGTGACGAGTGTCTCTATTCTCTATTCTAATATCCCCCTCGCCTGGTCGGGACGTATCGTGTCGAGCATTTAAATCTGAATATCGTTCCTCATCCGGAAGAGATTTGATCGGGCTTTCTGGTACTGATGTGCCACGGAGAAGGACTGTCGCTGGGCCACGTGACACGGGACCAAAAGTTTCTGTGGGTCCCGTATCACTGTAGTATGGTGGAAGATTGTGACGAGCAAACGCGGATTTTGGATGGTTTGATCGAGCACGTGCCGATTGGAATTCAGCCCGATCCTCGTCATCTTGATTCCACGATAGACTGTCCTGAACGGGGACTGCGGTAGCCGAGGCACTGCGAATATTTCGGAACCCACCGGCCACGCTATCTGTGACCACGAATCCAGGCATTGCATTGTCTGATATCAGACAAGTGCCCACAGACGGTTGGAACTGAAGGGTGAAAATAGAAATTGAAAGACAAATTGACAACCAAACTGGTTTCCGTTGCCGGTAACTTTGGCAATGGAAAAGTTGGGCATCAGTACCCCCCCCCCCAATGGGAGAAATTGTGAACCTACACATAA